CGCTGCTCCTGAGTTTTTCTTCAACTGCACTACATGAGTAAGAGAGTTTCCACACGCAAACCATACTTGTGCTTCTATGATCTCCTAGACCTCATATGACTCAGGCGACTACGAAATATTGCAACGAATTTCGGGCACGATCTTCAGACCGACCATAGACGCAATATACGTCGTAACTTTTCTCTCAATTTGCCAGCATACAGTAAGGTGATAGAAATATAATTATCATGCGATACAGCATGGAAAGATGTACGTTAAGAACAAGAAAAATAAATAAGCAAAAAAATGGACAGGCGTCTTTGCCAAAGAAAATAAGATGAAATGGCATTAAAATCGTGCACTGCGAGGACAACAGACCATCGCTGGGCCAAAAAGACATTATACCGGGTCCCAAAAGAGAATAAAGAAATTAAGATCAATGACAGGATGCGCTAAAGAAATTTTTTTGAAGCAACGTCGATAAGAATTGCCGACAATAGACTTCCTTTAATGATATCTTGCAAAGGCCTTTACCAGCAGTTAAATTCAAATGATGATGACGATGATGTCGTCTGCATAACTCCTCAAACCAATTACTATACATGTACATAAGAATCATTAATGTAGGTAAAACACAAGATATAAATACACTAAAAACTAAAGTAATATATAGACATAACTCTTAGCATGTGATATCTAATACAGCTGAATATTATTACTGCATTGTGATGTACTATACTCACATATAGTCAAATAATGCACCGCAAGTGACTTACACATATACAGCTAACCAACCGCCTTGACCGCGACAAAACCTGAGATATGGACAGTTACACCGATAAAGCTGTCATCCAACAAAACAATACTTTCCATGGTAAAAATCAATACCGTGCTTTATACTATTTTTCACTATAACCCTGGAAGTACTTATTACTAATATAGTTATATATAACTCTACTAAAATGGTTTTATATAATCTTAGTTTCTTCTGTAGAAGCTTAATACAGTAGTAAAATTGACTGTATATGATTGTTACTAAAGAGTAAGACAGCATTATTATAATCACACTTAACGTAGTAACATAGCACTCCTCCACGAAATCAAAAAATAGACTGCCACGCAAGAAAATGCTAACAAACGAAATATCACAGTATAGATTCACCCCCATTTTAATCCGAAATAAGCGCATTTTGCTTCGCAGTTCACAGAGGAGCGTAGATGCATGAAACGGCTTGTTCGTCACTTCGTTTGTGACATCCGTAAACTGGGAAAATACGGCAGCCAGCTACTGGCGACCGCAATCGAAACCAGTCTGAGTGAAGGTCTGTCTGCTGTCTAAGGTGAAACCGTTCTTCAGCATGTAGCGCACGTACCATACTCTGTGGAGAGTCAGGAAGCAGAGTTATACAAAGGAAAAAACCCACTGGCTTTACAAACGTTAAATCATTTTTACGACCCGCCCACACAACAACGTTGGTTTCGATGCATAACGAGGGTCAAAGAGCAGAATGACGTACTCAATCACTCTGTTCCATTCCGAACAAAGATGACGTCAGTAGTATGGAGACTAAAAAAGAGATTCACTCCGATGGACAAATTGCTTGAGCATTAACCATTTATTCCACCCACTTGTCGTTTGGGAA